AGAGGCACCAGCGAATTGAAGTGCGCCCGCCATTTATCGTTTCTTTCTCCCTCACACCACGGCCACATGCGCCAGTATCCATGGTGTTCACCGACCTTTTCGCCGGAGAAATAGCAACGGAGCTCCTGAAAATGCTCGTATCAATATCTCGCAAATCTTGTCGCTGTAAGTCAAGCGCTGACAACTTGATTACGAGCATTGAAGAGCTCCTCCCCATTATCCAAGAGATCAAATACTCCGGCGTCGAACTTTCTGCAATTCGGCAGGCACAGCTTGACCGTCTCTCCGAGACACTGCGAGAGGGACTCGAGTTGGGGGGCAAGGTTCTCGCCTCTGCTCGATGGAACGTTTATAAGAATCTCCAGCTTGCTAGGAAGATGGAGAAATTGGAGAAGAAGGTTGCGAAATTTCTCAATGGTCCTATGCAGGCTCACGTGCTTGCCGATGTGCATCACCTGAGGTTCGAGGCGGCCGAGAGGTTCGATCGGATAGACGGATCGGCGCGGCGGCTCGAACAGCGACTGGAGTCAATGAAGATTGGAAATGGAGGGTGGATGGAGGAGGCAGTCAAAAGGGTGGAGCTGGCGGAAGAGACAACTTTGGAGACTTTGTGTGGAGCGGGTCTGGATTTGGGCAAGAAGAAGGTTAAGGAGATGGTGATTGGGTGTGAGAATTCCTCCGTTGTAGGGATTTTGGGAATTGGTGGTTCTGGGAAAACTACCTTGGCTACTGAGCTTTGCAGAGACGATGAAATTCGAAGTAAGTTTTCAATTTTGCTTCTTTTTTAACTTTCAGGGACTCTGCTCTCTGCTGTAGTGTTTTTGGATGCAAACAAACATTGCCCTGAATTTCTTTTCTGAATGGCTTTTTCTCTGATTGATTCAACAAATTGCAAAACTAGGTGACATATGGTATGAAGTATGAACTGACTCTGTTAAATTTTAAGGTTACTTCGACGAAAGAATTTTGTTCCTGACAGTATCACAGACTCCAAATGTGGAGCAGTTGAGGGCAAAGATTTGGGGATTCATATCTGGGAATGAGGCTGTGGATTCTGGTCACCTCTTATTTCCACAGTGGATCACACAATTTGAATGCAAAACTGGACCAAGAACTTTGATTGTTCTAGATGATGTCTGGTCAATATCTGTGCTTGAGCAGTTGATTTTCAGGATGGAAGGGTGCAAAACAATTGTGGTTTCAAGATTTAGATTCTCAACTGGTCTTGATGCATCTTATGAAGTAGAGTTGTTGAGGGAAGATGAAGCAATGGCTCTCTTCTGCCAAACTGCTTTTGGGAAAAAATCAATCCCTCGTGCTTGGAACGAGGCTTTGGTTAAGCAGGTAGTAAAAATATCATTTTTCTCTTGATGTCCCCCTCTCTTTGTGCACTGGCTATTTTTTCTTAACTAATGCTATCAAAATTGCCTTTTGACAGATTGTTGAGGAGTGTAAGGGCCTTCCCCTGGCTCTTAAAGTCATTGGAGCTTCATTAAGAGATCAACCTGAAATGTATTGGGTCGGTGCTAAGAAAAGGTTATCTCGAGGAGAACGAATTTGCGAGTCTCATGAAACCAAGTTGCTTGAACGGATGGCAATTAGTGTGGATTACTTGCCCAAAAAGGTTAGGGAATGCTTCTTGGATTTGGGATCATTTCCTGAAGACAAGAAGATTCCCCTTGATATACTTATAAACATGTGGGTTGAGATACATGATATCGATGAGGAAGAAGCCTTTGCTATTCTTGTTGAGCTCTCTAACAAGAACCTTCTCACTTTGGTGAAGGACCCACGGTATGTTGCTAAGATGCTTTGCTGTTGTTTTATAACCATGAAAACTTGGATTGCCATTACCTTTGATGAGATTGGTTTTGTATTCTGAACCATTTAATGTGCTACATGGGCAGAGCGGGAGACATCTATAGCTGTTACCATGACATCTCTGCCACTCAACATGATGTGTTAAGAGATCTTGCTCTTCATCTGAGCAATCAAGGGAATTTAAATGAGCAGAAGAGACTGATTATGCCAAGAAGAGAATCTGGAGTTCCAAGAGAGTGGGAAAGGAATATAGATCAGCCATTCAAGGCTCAGATTGTCTCAATGCATACAGGTATAGCCTGGTTGCCATCACACCTATTCTGGTTTGCTTTGCATTTTAAATAGTTGTTTGATTGCCTATCCAACGGAACTAATCATTTTTATTGGAATCGCCCTAAACAGGAGAAATGAAAGAAATGGACTGGCCGCGCATGGATTTTCCCAAGGCTGAAGTACTCATCCTGAATTGTTTATCTAATGAATACTTCCTGCCTCCCTTCATTGATGACATGCCGAAGCTTAGGGCACTCATTGTGATAAATTATGGTAACTCCACTGCCACCCTTCTCAATTTCCCGGTCTTCACCAATTTGGCAAACTTGAGGAGTCTATGGCTTGAGAAAGTTTGTGTCCCTCAGTTATCTAGCACCACTGCTCCCTTGAGGAACTTGCGGAAAATATCTCTAGTCCTCTGCAAGATTGGTGACAGCTTTGATCCATCCATGGTTGACCTGCCCCAGATCTTCCCTCGTCTGTCAGAACTTGCATTTGATCATTGTGAGGATTTATTTGAACTGCCTTCAAGCATATGTGGGATTAACTCACTCAAGAGTCTAAGCATCACCAACTGCCACAATCTGTGTAATTTACCTACTGAATTAGGTAAACTAAGGTGTCTGCAAATACTCAGGCTATATGCTTGTCCAGCTCTCAATACACTTCCTCCCGGCATTTGTGAGCTAACCTGCTTAAAATACCTTGACGTCTCACAATGCGTTAACCTGAGATGTCTACCTGATGAAATTGGTAGATTAGTGAGCCTGGAAAAGATTGACATGAGAGAGTGCCTACAGATTTGGAATCTTCCTCCTTCTGTTTCATCTTTGCGCTCACTGCGCCATGTCTTCTGCGACGAAGATGACATCTCCTGGTTATGGAAGGACGTAGAGAAAACAAAGCCAGAACTTCACGTCCAGGTTGCAGATAAATGCTATAACATAGACTGGCTTAAAGAGTATTGAATTAACTTAAGTAATTTAGTGATAATTATTTTTTTTTTTGCTAAAAAAAAGAAGTTTTGAATTTAAATCACAAGACATGTGATGGGTGAAATAGATGATGAAAAAGAATTATCTCTTATTGTGCAATTAAGATTAAGAGAAAAAGCTTTAAATTGACATCATCCATGTCTCTGTAAATATTAGTATTGAATTAATGGAAACAAAATTATTCACTGCTAATTTTTTTTTAATATTAATCTCTTAGTATTCGGTAATCAGATTGGGTTTTAATTAATTTGGTATCTAGTTACGTCGGATCCCATTAAGGGAAAAGTTTTTTCAGCACATATTTCTCCATTCACAAGATTCGAACTCGATACTTTACTTAAAGGAACCGAATTCTTTTCACTCAGACCAACAAATCGTTGATTCACTGCCAATTACATTAGAGGAAAGCTTCTTGCTTTCTAGTTCATAAACAAATGCTTGCTGAATTTGTT